CCCAAACCCTACTTACTAAGTCCCATGATCCTTTAAGAGCCCAGCTGTGCTCAGCAGGTCCTTGCCTCGAGCTCCGGACTGCTTCAGTCCTCGGAGCTACCAGCGCTCCGGAGTGCCACCCGAAGAGAAGCTCAGGATTTTCTTTTGAGGGTCTCGCTTTCCGTAGATTCAGGGGTTAAGAGGCTTTAGAGGGGCTTGACAAGTTTTTTTTTACAGCCTGGTTGGCGTGAGGACCAACCATTTTATGCTTGTTTGGTTGTGAAGTTGCTGTTTGTAAAGCACAAAAGGTTGTTGCTGGGCTTGAAGATCTCTGTTGATCTCCTGCCAAGCTGTATGGAACCTGCAGTTCGCTTGTGCAGCCACAGGTCTCTATGTGTGTTGCCGCTCTGGGTCATGACTTGGGACATCCAGGCGCCGGAGGGCTTCGCTGGGGATGGGATGGGCTTGGCTTCGGCCTTCAGAGGAGCGCACATGACCGTTGAGCATCGCAGGCAATTACTGCAAGGGTCTAAGGCGCTTGACACAGGGCGCTCGAGAAGCCCAAACCGCAAAGGCGGTCTGGGTTTTGAGAGCGTGAAACAGAGAGCCTGAACGACTTCATTGAGGGGCCTCCATCCGTGCGGAATTTGCAGAGACCTGCGCAGGTCTCAACAACAGCTTCCAGATCAACTCTCGGGACAACCTCGTAGCCCGGCGCACAACTGTGAATACGGAAGTTTCAGGTTCCCAGCTATCACAGAATCGTGAGAACAATCTTTGAGGATCCTCAATAAGGTACTCCTAGTTCTCAAGAAGTTCGCATATAGAGCCTGCACTGAGCCACGATCTCAGAGCTTGATGGCATGGAGATGATGGAGCTTTGAGAGGCCTCTGCACTATGCTGCACTGTGCCAGTTGATGCTGCCGAGGGTGAACCATCACAGGACAAGCGCAGTAGGGATGAGGTTTTGAATCACATGCATACTGTTAAGCATCTGGTTCCGCTGCCAGCGGTAATGTTCTCACGAATGTTCGTTGTTGCTGCCGCATACCTGACACTGTGGGGAGCATCAACCTTTCATGAACGACATGAGGTAGAGAGCTTGCTCATTCACACGTCTACACACTTCACGCTCTTGTGAGGTGTCCGTGAGTGTTCTGAATGCCATATACTGATCATATACTTGATCGGTGGAATGGACATCGATTGTTTACAGTGACCAAATCGCACATACCAACGCGAGTAGCGAAGCCAGCAGCAGTACAAGTCAGAGTCCTTCCAAGCACTATTGTGCAGTCGACTGCGTGTTAAAGTTAACCAACCGAATGCAAGTGAGAAGCGAGCTAAGCGAGCTAAGAGATTTGAACTTACAGATGGAGTCCAAGCTCTTGTCCCGGGCTATTTTCGGAGCCATCTTTTCCCATCACTTGAGTGGTGGGAAGTGCTGCAGGCGTCGTATAGAGGTTCTCAAGCTCCGTAGACTTGACGATCCATGCTTGGTACCGCATTCGCAAACTATTTAGTCGACATTTTGCAGCGCCTGCTCAACATCAAGCAATAGATCCGCAAGCACAGCAACACAGCATAATATCATTATTCAGCAAGACAGCGTACATGGCGTGATGCGACATCACGTGCCCAGATATGACACCTCACGGCCAGTTAGTGCTCATGTGCACATCCGCTGTAAATGTGTGACTGTGCCCGTGTCTGTGTGCCGTGAGTGTTAACTTCCTGCTTGGCTGCCACAAGTTGTATGAAATCCGTATGAGAATGTGCAAATGCTGTTGTGCATATGAGGGACCGGTCACTCGTTTCTAAAACATGCTGCGAGAGCTCGAAAATCAGCAAAAGGATGCATGCATTGTCGTTGCTGTCACGACTTGGGGTTGGCATATTCGGCTAATGTAAGGCTTGCCATGCCTGCAAGAAGTGTCACCAAACTTGGAGACAACACCATACGCTCATACGCTGTGTACCATCCGAGGCGGTGACCTACAACGACCGCTCTGTGCTGGAGAACTTCCACGCAGCTGAGCTTGCACCTTTCCCAGCAACGTCAGAAAGGTTTTTGCTTTGACGTGGACTGGGGCCGCAAGGCTTTAGCGAACTGAGTACCTTCGTCAGGCCGGAGTCTAGCAGAGAGTGGGGGATCGATGGGTGTCTCACAGGCTCCGTCGTTGCAGGCGACGTTTTGAATACTCTCTGCTGCGGTGATGATGGACATGGAACTTAATCTGAGTCTTTATGGTTGCATGTAATGTCTTATGAAGTTTCAACCCTACGGGGATAGTTCAGGATCGCATTCGGCAGAATGGTACTAGTCGCTTGTGTGATGAGCCCCGCGAAGTCCTTGGCTTCAGGAGCGGTTGCTTTCGCATCGGTACGGCCCGCGGCAGACAAAGCTTCTGGGACATGTTGGGATTCGTGGGCTTCGGCGTGCGAGATTTACAACATATCATAATTACAGCGTTCTTCCTTTGTCCACGTTTTACGAAGGCACTCAGAGAACGAGGCAGATGATGTAGACTCCTGCAAGATGTATGAGGGAGGATATTTGTCGGAGGCTACAGTCTGGAAGAAACCCAGCTGCATTCTCATCTGATTACGTGGCTTGCCGTCGTCTTGTGGCAAGGCAATCGAGCAGGGGAATGGCTGTTTCTGGTGTGTTGCTTACGGCTTGCAAATTTCCTGCCATTTGCTTTTTTTTTCATGCTTAGTGCCACAACTTCCCCGAACCGGACGCATGGCGCAAGACCTGTGGACTCTCTCCGAAGATGTATACCGCCCTTGCGCCTGAGGCTTATGGCCATCCCACAGAACCACGAAGCAAGGGAGCGTCAGGCAAGATGCGGGGGGCCCTTGGGCTTAAAGCTCCCCTACTCGTACTTTGCTCTTTTCCTACCCCTCGCATCCCACCCGGCGGCTTTTTGCCTTGGTGTCCCGCGCTTTCCTGTCAGGCAGCAACCCTGCCAATGCCACAAGGGCCCTTCTGAAATCGACTGTTGCAGAGCCGGCACACGGGGCTGTCAAGGTTTATGTCGAGTGTGCTTGTGGACGAAACATTCGCTCGAGCAGTAGGGTGCGTTGAAGGCTTCGGACTAGTTATACTTCTTTAGCGTCACAAGACCTCGAGAATTTGAAAGGCTTCCTGCTGCTTGGCCGCCTCCCTCCAGCAGCCTGGGTCCTGCAGGTGCGCATCGCCCTCATCCTCGCGACCGACCTCTCCAAACACATGCAGGCGCGGGCCGAAGGCTTGTCTGTGTCGCAAGCCGATCCACGACCCTACTCCAGGATCTCGGAGATCTTCGACTACGGCTCGGCAATAGAGATTTTGTCGCATGGCATCGACAAGGGCAGAGAGTTTCCATAGGTTTAGGCCGTCGAAAAACTGCGGTCGGTTTCTCCAGCCCGATCCAGTCGACAAAAAGCCCAGGACGCCAGCGAAGTGGCCGCAGACCAGCAATTGGCGCTGACGCCGGGTGGCACTTGTTTTGAGATGGTCGCAGGGTGGATTGTCCCTCCTGCAAGAGCTGACTCGTGATGCAGACTTGGCTGTGCCCCATCATGCGCTCTAGAACCAAGCGCGCGAAGCCCCCAACCCCATCGCATGTATGTGCGCCTTCAGCCAAGGACGTGGTATTTTCGGGCGTCGGACATTGGACACTCTGCGAAGCCGTGGGATATTCACAGGCGGGATTGCAAAACCTCAGAGAGAGATCTCCAGAGACTAAGAGCATGTCGACCCTCTGCTAAGATGTTTTTTGCCAGACAATTTGCGGTAATGGGCAGTGCATCTCAGTTTCAGAGTTCCAATGCTCCTCCCGTCCTCCAGGCGCTGGTCCGAGCGCTTGGTGGAGGACACTCCGAAACCGGGGATCGGTAGAATGCCTCCTTCCATCTTCATCAGGGTTCTAAATTTAGGAGGCTCTTCGATGCATCTATGCCGGTCCTTACGGTTGCTGTCGGAATTAGGTCACACTGTGGAGTCTCCTTACGTACTCGATGTAGGGAAGAACCAGCAAGGGTCGGTGAGACCTGGACAAGGGCGGTGTTCTGTCACATTGAGTGCTCCGGCTGGTGCGATGCTAGCAGGGTTAGTGTGTCGTCGGGTGTAGTCGGTTGCTACTTAAGTAGCTCATTCCTGGAAGGAGTCCTTGAAGTCGAAGCAACGAGGGTCTCAAGCCGTGCTGACTTTCCCTACAGCCATGGTTGTCTCGTCACGAATGGGCTGCAACAGCCTTGCCTTGCAAGAAATCTGACTTAGCTGCTGTGCGCACGATCATGGCCGCTCCAGGAGTTCCATGCCCAGGGCGACGTCGAAAGAGGACGCCGGGTTCAAAAGCACTCATTGGGAAGCCAAGTGCTAGTCTGCTGAGCCACGTGTCAGCTTTGGCGAATGCCCCGACGTTCGGCTTCTGCGTCAGCTTCGCCTAAAGCTGCGCCTAGGACTCGGTCTGCCGCTGTCTCCGCTCTGCACCTTGGCCCTTGGCACCGGCAGCGTTCGTGAACCCTTTGGTCTTTTGAGGAGACTTTGGGAGGCTTGAATTTGGGGAGCCCGGCTCCTTGGATTCTGTCTTAAAGGCTTTGCTAAGGGTTCCGTGCGGTACAGAAACCGGTGCTGCGGGTACGGGAAGGTGGGGGACAAGAGGGGCGGCAAGCTTAAACACTCCTGAGTCGTTTGTCCAACAATCGACAAGTACCTGCTGTGCACCTGCCCAAGCAAACCGGAAGCTCCGATGGCTCCGATCTGCACACAAAGAGAGACTGCAACCGCTTGAGGCGATAGGAACAACTTCGATCTGTCCAAGTCCCAAACGGGCTTTCTGCAGTTTATTTGCCTGCCGATGTATGAAGATTCTCGGCTGCACTCAGGGACTATTTTTGGATTCAGGCTCTCGAGCCGAATATCGCAGAGCGAGCTGCTAGCATCACACTGATGCCTTTGCTACAGCCCAGCTGCATTGGCTTAGGCAGCCTGCCAGCCCAAGGTCAGGTAGGTCCGTGAGGCGCTAGCATGGTACTTACTTGACTCTGCCGCTCCAGGGGCAGAAGAATGCAGTAGCTTTGAAGAATGGCGCGCTGCAGGAACTTGTCAGGCTGGACGAACTCCTTGAAAGCCGCTTTCAGCTCAACCAGAGGCGAAAGTGGCTGGACTTGCTTCGGGGTTCCCGCTCTGCTTGGGCATGCTTGGGCTTGCGGGTGCAGGGCTCAGGACATGACCCTTGTCAACCTTTGAGGGCAAATCCACATAGCTACCAAGGGCCCGAGGCTTCGCGCTTCCGTCCAACACAGCGCCTGCTCTAACTTGCGCAGACCCACGGCCCCTAAGCTTACTGCCTTGATGCTTCACCGACCATGACTCTCACAAGCCCAGCCTCTGCATCACGGTCGTTTCAGCATCCGTAGAAGAGGCGGCAGCTGTCAATCGTCACCAAGCCGATCTCCAACAAACATTCTGCTTGAACGTAATCGAAACGCACCTTGTCAAATCTTTTCAAGCAACAAGACTCTGCGACAGGAAGAAGCCGGCCACGTCCGTCTCGTTGCACGTTTCGCGCCATGGATTGCACCCTGGCAGCGTCTGCAGCTCACATATATGATGCGGCCTCTAAGAGTGGCTTTTGTCCTGCTGAGGAAAGTCTTGCCTTTAGACGACATCGTGCCAAGCGAGCAGGAATTGAAAGTCGCAGCCTCGGGTTGTCTTCAGTTTTTAGGTCAACTGAGTCCAACTGTGCAGAGTGCAAATGCTGGCAAGTTCTGCACGAGTGCGACGATTCCATTACGTACCAGCCCACGCGTCAGGTACCTCCGCGGGTTAGGTACCTGTCAACTGGAGCATGTGGGATCTTTCAACATCCCCCCAACCCTATCCTTGCGAACTGTTTTGGCGAGTTACCTCCGCATGTTAGGTCTCACCCCAGAGGGATTGGAGATGTGCAGGGTACAACCTGGACGATTCATAGGGCCACAGGGAAGTCCACTTACACAGTGCATGGTGTGAAACGTCGCCCGGATCTTGGCCACATGTCTTAGGTGGAGTCGAGGCTCTCGCGGTCCTTCACCGGAGGCGTTGATGTGCAAGAGATTTGCATCTTGAATCTTCCTTCCTTCATTCCCTTCCCCCGGCATGCGGGGGGATTTGACAAACCCAGAAGATACTGGCATGAGCCTTCCTCGAAGCCTAGGCCGCAAATAGGAAGGTGACAGGAAGATCAGTGAGCCGCGACCTTCCTCCAGGGATGCCTCTCGAAGAGTGCACTACCGCCGCGCAGAACAAGGGCACCCTGCGCATTGCGCAGCAGCCGCCGGGAAGGATTTTGTTTTGGGGGTTTTCCGAGATGAGCTTGTTTGTGCCTTGGAGGAAGCTTCAAGGGTTAGAGATCAGACGGGGAAACCTTCGGTTGGATGCGAGAAAGTGGCAGCTGTTCCGCCATGATGCGGTGTGTCTGCACGCCGGAAACCAACGTTGTTTGGATTGCACCGGGCGGTTCCCAGATGTGACAGGGGAGGCTGGGTGCAAGGCGCTCTGACTCTGCTTGCCTGACCTTCGGTTCCTGTCAAGCACGTCAGGCTCCTTGACCAGTGCACGGACAACATGAACAGCTGGATGCTTGGTTGAGCTCAGAGCAATTGCAGGTCGAGGGGTTCCAGAAGACTTTGATGGTGATCAGTGTTGCGGTAACAATGTCTCCACTGCATGAACAGACGTGTAGGTGCTGCACAAGGCTTGACGTTGGGTTGGGACTCAGGACACTCGTTTCGTTTCGCCGGAGGTTCGAAACCATAGCCCTTTCCATGTGCAAGAAGTTTTATTGACAAATCTCATCCTCAGATGAAGCCTTCAGCCGTTGGATGATTGGAGATATGAGACAATATGAGATATATTCTCTCGCCCGGGCACCTCCCCCTTCGACGATCCAACTGCCTGCAGGAAGAATCTGCATGCCCAGTCTGTCTGCCAAGATCTGGCTTGAGCTGTGTCCCATGGTTTGGTTAGAGCCGCTTGGGCCCGGGCACCTGTGGTCTGGAGCATCCGGGGGTGAATGTTGCAGGGATTCGGGCTTTCACCACGGTTGGACTTTGAGGTTGCGGTTTCAGAGAGCAGCAAGTAGCAACGCCGAAGCTGCCACAGGGCATGGAGCACGCAGATTGATACTTCGGATCTAGAATCTCAGACATGTACAGCATTGTAAAGCCAAATTCTCAGCGATGCCGACTCAGAAGCCCTGGGACTTCGTGTTTGGCCACGGGATGGCAAGAGACTTTGAGTAAGTTCCCCATGGTCTAAACCTGCTTATGTCCTTGTTGCAACTGGCTTCCGACATGCCATCGACGATGCATGTTGCTGAGAGATGCTGAGAGGATCGCTTGCTTCTGAGGACGGTCGGGCAGTTGGAGGCACATGTTTCTTCCACTGCTTTTCTGAAGCTTGAGGTCATCTACGCGAACGGCTAGAAATGAGTCGGATTCGTTGAGCGGGCCCGGAAGGCTTCAGCCGTTTTTTTTCTCTCTGCGGCTTTGTGTTGAGATGTCCCGGGCCTCTGGCAATGGCAAGCTTGAAACTCCTCAATGTTTATGTCGTCACTGACAGAACTTGCCACGTAGGACCTATTCGTCGTAGTCAAGGGCGTGGTCTCTGCAGTACACCGCGGTTGTCATCTTGTCCATTGCCACCGGCACCAGGTCAAATGGAGGCGGGACCCGAGTCGCGGTGGCCCACGGAGCTCCTGTTTTGGTGTCCGCCGGGTGTTCCCCCCACATCTCAAAAACTCCGGGCGGCAGCGATCATCGCTGCTTTCGCATGTAGTAGATCGCATGGTCAAGAAGCCTTGCTTAGCTAAGTGTTCTCCATGCGTTAGCCAGCCACCCCATGAACCTTGGGGTGGATGAGCTCTTTTTGAAGTTTTGCTGTACAGGCTTTGAGTTTCACACGTATTAAGCAGTGCTTTGTAGTTCTCCGCTTTATAAAGCACGACGGCCGGAAAGCAAGGAGAAAGAGCAAGACCGACAGTGGAGGGTCGAGTGCAGGTCGCGGGTCAGACGCAGGCAGTGTGCCCTGGTGGAGGGAGCTGTCTGCTCCGTCCTCCAGCACCCCCTTCTTGCATAGCTATCCCAGAATAATGACGAGTACGCAACAAGCTATGCGTCGGGCTAAGATCATCGCTTCTGACCTTTGCAACATGTTGCGAGACCAGAAGCTGGGCAGGCCAAGCTGCTCACCTCGACGACTCTGCTGCTTTGAGGAACATTCATGCATATTCATGCTGTGAGCCTTACACCCGTAAATTGCAATTAGGGCGGTGCGCGTTGTCCGTCAACCTCGCCTGAATCCCCCGGTGCATATCCCAATTCGAAACCCGTTCAGGCCCGCGCAGTTGTTCCACGGGCTGATTTCACTGGCGAGCATCTTCAAATTCTTCAAGAGATCCCACTAGCTTGGGCTTCAATCCGCTTTGCCCCAAAAGCAGCCCATCTTGGGCCGTACAAGGAAGGTGCACCTTGAGTTCGAGTAGCTAGCCTGGTAAGCTTCACGGCCTGCCGAGGTCGCCATGATGCGCAGGTCGGAAACCGGGTTTTCTCTGTTGGGCTTCGGAGTGCAGGGACCGTCAAGATTCGAGGGCTTCCACAACCCTTCACATGCCAATGAAGCACGAGACAGTCAAAATTGAACAGAGCAGAAACTAGCGGACATGAACAGACTGATCATAGTTTCGCATGCGTAGTTCTGAGGCGCAAGCCTTGTTTTCTCTGTTTCCAAGCCTCTCGCCTCCTGATCGATGTGGCACGAGTGGTATAAGCAGAAAACCCATTGCAAGGGCATGTAGACCAGGCGGAGCATTGTTTGCTTCTCGTGTTTGTCACGAACATGCGCCGGTGCCTCTCGCACTGCTCAGTCTTATTTGCTCTGCTCGCATATCCCCGTCACTCTGGGATTTCCAAACTTCGACGCATTGACGCAGAAAAGGGTCCATGAAAGGGCAGTTTTGGAAACGTGGCGGCCGAAGGCTGGGGACAGTCGGATACGTCGCCCCGGAAGTTGTGGATACCAGCAACCCAGCAGCACTTAATCGTCAGAGGATTAGGTATGACTACGGTATGAGGATTCACGATTTGTGAGCTGTGCTTTGGCTTTAAGAAACTCCAAGAACTTGTAGTCACTGTAGGCTTGCTTTAGGCATCCGCATCGGCGGTCGTTGGGGATGTGTAAGGCGAGAAAGATCTTGAGCCGGAGATGACGTCTAGCGAGTTGTTGAGTGCAGGGATCCCACTCCAGCACGCAAGCCCATTGTGCCAAGGAAGCCCGGGATACGGCAGCCTCAGCAGCGGCCCCAGCTTCTCTTCACGAGGGTGCCTTCGCTGCGTGGCTGCAACGGATTGCATTGCTACCCAGGGCTCAAGCCTTCATTTTTAAGGTGATGTGTTCAGCGCCGGAGCGCTGCTTTTCTACGTTTACTGCGGCATCGAGGAGACCGGGCACATGAAATTCAGAAGCTTCCTTCCCAACCGACCTCATGCGGTCTCCAAACAGGTCCGGTACATGTAGCCAATTACTTGAAGCCCTGTGGACTGTTTGTTGGTTTTGAGGCGTTGCAGTGCTTAGGTTTTGAAGGGCTCCAGGACTCGGGGAGAATTTCAGCCCCAATGCAGCATCGCTTGACAATTCTTGTTCCTCGGGAAGGCCTTGAGGGAAGCGAACACCAGCTGCCGCCCCAGTGAGTGAAGCCACCGATGAGAGTATGTTATGAGAGTTTTTGCCCTTATGCACCACTTCTGCAGCCATTACTCAGGGCCTACAATTCCTGCACCGCTTCGTTGCTGACAGCACTCGTGTCCCACGTTTGCCTCGCAGCATCTCCCCGTGGCCTTCGGCTTGGCGACATCTGGTGACAGCTGCCTTGACCTGCCTTGTAAACTTCCAGCCTCCCGACTTCGTCCGACACTTCCATAGATATTGGTGCTGCAAGGGAGCTTTGCACAGGCTTTAGACGAATTTCGTCGCGTTAGTAATCAGCAACTGAGCTACTAGTACGATATTCCCAACAAGCGAAGCAAACCCGAGCCCATGCCGAGCGCGCGTGCAAGGTGCCAGCCTCCAGCGAACGCTGGCGGGTAAAGCAAAGTTTAGCCACCCGAAGGTCAAACAGGCAAGTGGATGCATTCGGCATGCCTTCAAAACGATGCACCTGGATCGCTGAGCGTATGTGTAGCAAGTGGTCGCAGCGAACCCTCCAGCTTGCCCAGTTGTGGCAGTCCGACAACACGACCGCACCGCAAACCAGTTCATGTGTAATTGTAGTTTAGTATCCAGCATGAAGTCACCGTGCCGACCAACCTGCAAGAGCGTGTGTTGTGTTCGTCACATAGTGATTGCTTGCGAAGCACAGGATTGCTCCAGGCCGCAGACTTGTAAAGTCTCTCCGTCTCGCTAGCTCGCTCTCTCTCTCTCTCTCTTTCTCTCTGTCTGTCTCTCTCTCTCTCTCTCGCTTTGTCTTGTTTCTCTTTCTCTCTCTATCTATCTTTTTATATTTCTCACTCTCTATGACTCTATGTCTACATACACATGCAGATGATAGATAGTATGATAGTATAGATGAGTAGAATATGTACATAATATAGTACCGATGTACCTATACATGTAAATATATTCACATACGCATGCGCATAAGCATACACATTCGCGATACGACGTGATATCATCTCCCACCGCTGGCACCGTGGCAGGTCCGCACTGGAACGTTGCACCTTCTAAAGAAGATGCTCTCCATCAGCAGCTTGACAGAGTAGTCCCCTTGGTCATGGCGCCAAGTCGAGAAGCCGAGGCCCCAAGGTTCGGCCCAAGGCGGCCAAAGCCTGCAAGGCTCGGATGGCTCGGGCTGGGACGGCGACGGCTAGGACTTCTCAAGATGCCCTGCTTGCCCCGAGTGTGCTGTGCATCGTCGTGGGAGGCGTCCGAGCACACAGGAAGCATGGAGCATTGATTCGGGGAGAAAGCTGTAGTGGTGGCCACCGTGGGCAGCTTCTGGATGTTCACTTGAGGATGGCCGCCTGCATTCGTGAGAAGCTTGCGTACGGTTAGCATGACCGGGCAGACTGTTAAGTCCGCGGCTGGGGGCAAATCTCAAGCTATGCTATCTTCCGCGCAGGCCTTGTGGAACCTGGGGACAGAAGAGGCGGGGAACCGCTGGAGTGCTAATCAGGGAACTGCGAGCTTGCTTCATGTTCTTGGACTCAGATGCCTCCGGGGCGAAAAGATGAGTCCCACCCGGCGAGAGTGTAAGACCTGGTGACAGCAGGCCCCCCCACACCAAAAAGCTCAGTCCCTCAAAACAAGAGGACCGCAGATTTCTGCATCTGCTCCCTACAAGCTGAATTTTCTTGTCTCCAAGCCTTCCAATATTGAAGTTCGGCCAGTCCGAGATCGAGGGCCTCTAGACTATTCGTCTCGAGCTAGACTGAAAACTGCAGAGACACGAGTCCAGGTTCACGAGTCGCCGACTGCGCTCAAGGCAAGGTCGGGTTGATCGAAGTGAGGCTTCACACTGGTTTTTACTTCCGGTTCTATTCCAGCTCTGCGCTACCAGTTGAAGCTTGCAAGGCTTTGAACGGCCTCGGCCCTGC